TCAAGATTGTCAAGCGTCTGGGTAGCAGACACGATGCGAGGGCACAGCTGTGAGCGCCTCGCGAGCTTGCATTCCAGTCGGAAGGACAGGCAATAAGCACTAAGTGAAATACAGCATGTCAGGTGGCATTCACTGCTAAAATGCTGGTATCAGGAGTGCTGGCAGCGGTGGTGGTGGTGCACTTTTGAACAGAGTGAATAGAGAAGTCTTTACTGAACAGATCAGGTTGAACCAAGACCCCATAATCAGATATTAGGATCCATAACCAGATCCCTACTGGCAGATGTTCCTTTCCTTTGATTATTTCCAACGTCTGGGAACACCACTCCATCTAAGCACCAATTCCTCATGGCAAGTGGACCTGCCTCCTTTTATACCTGAGATGATGGGAAGGAATGAGACCTAGTCACAGCTCTCCCCTCCTCATTTGGGCTCTCGTAAGTGGCCTTCAATCTATTCTTCTCATGGCAAAATTTCAAAGCAGGAAGCCTGCAAAAATTATCCTGATACGAAGCAGAGTGAATATCTCATGTTCTTTCCTTTATTTTTAACATAAGTTAACTCTGGGGAATGAAACAGCTGAAACCTGGCAAAATCCAGTTATTTTACTGAGCATTTGACAAGTCAATCTTTCTCCCTGATGAATGGAGGATTCTTACATGGCCAATGACTTAGAAAGGATCCTCTGGGCATACGAGGACTGTCTTTCTCATTTATCTCTGCCTTCCCAGCACTGTGCTTGGCATAGGTGAGAAATGGATGAATGACCTGACAATGCTTGAAACCCAACTACTAGCAGTATCATCCAATCCTGTGGCCCTGTCCACCTGAGTATAATAAGTGCTGCCCCTGCATCCATCCTGCATCCTGCATCCTGTTGGAGTGGGCAGTACCAGCATCACCCCATTTTTCAGTGCTGCCCGTGTGAGTGAAACAGGTGTGCCCCTGCATAGTGCCAGAGGAGGTAGCTGCCCCTTCAGTCCCTCCTCCTGCTGGCCAGGACTTGGGAATGCAAAGAACTCCAGCTAGTTCCTTGCTCTCTCCCCTCCTTGTGGAGCAACACCTCAAGATTATCCTATTTATTCCACATTGAGAAGGAAAAGAGTCGTAGTCATTCTGAGTAAGTGTTAGTATTGTTTTTATAGAGGATTTAGAAATAACTTCATGTAGGTCAGGACGACATAGGTATAACTATTACCAGGCAAAGTACTATTAGAAAATGAAGCCGTTGAATCAAAGCTTCCCTTATTTTATGTGTAGACCAGAGATAAAAGGATCAGGGATCTGTTAGTCCAAATACCTGTTTACAAATGGAAAAAACTAAAGCCTGGAGAAGTCAACAATTCTGCCCAGCCAGTGTGGCTCAGTGGTTGAACCTCGACCCCTGAACCAAGAGGTCACTAGTTCGGTTGCCAATCAGGGCACATGCCAGGGTAGTGGGCTTGATCCCCAGTAGGGGCCATGCAGCGGGCAGCCGATGGATGATGTTTTCCTCTCATGGATGTTTCTATCTCTCTATCCTTCTCATTTCCTCTCTCTGTAAAGATCAATAAAAACATGAAATAAAATAAAAACAACAAGTTTTAATTCTGACAAAGATAATCTATTTATGGTTTCAAAATGCTAATATGACTGTGTCCAGGTGTCCCTATGGGAACCTTTTTTCTGCCTAGGGCCATTTGGATATTTATAACATTATTTGCAGGCCATACAAAATTATCAAGTTAAAAATCAAACACAGCCTGCTATGTTTGATCAAACATTTAATGAACTCACCCCTAAGGCCTTGGCAGGGCCAGACCAAATGATTTCTCAAGCCTTATATGGCTTGTGAGACGTTACCCACCCCTGAAAGTCTAAAAGGACACGGAGAATTCAGCAAGCAGTTAATACTCCTGGTTACAGTTGATCGCAGTGAAATGACACAGACTAAAATCACAGTGGGAAAAGGTACAAAGGTCAGGGTCCTGGAGACACCAGAACAAGATTCCAGTTGTCCTCTCTC